TTATCTAGAATTTTAATATTAAATTCACATATCTTGAAAATGTGATATGTTTATCATCTATAATTTTAATATTAAATTCACACATATTACTTATAATAATTTATGTACATTTGTGCATGTGCACAGGATGATAAGTAGTTGAAGAAGAAAAGAGGAAGGGAAAGTGACAGGAAAAATGAATGGGAAAGGGGATATAAAATATAAAATAAAATAAAATAAAGAGGATTGGGCTTTGACAAAATGTGGAGGATTGGGCCTTTGGGGTTTGAATTTGGACAGAAGACAAAGATTTTGGGACCAAGGAAATAAATAAGGAACATTCAATTTTGTGGTGGGAAGGAGAATTTACCCGACCGATTCATTTGCCATCCGTTTCGCGATCTCTCCTTGGAGTACGGTAATGTGTGGCTTACTCTAGATTTGTTTTGATGAGTATCTATATGTGGGACTTGCTTTTATGTATATATGTGAAATATGTGATATTTTGGAGTCCTATACTTGAGTTCATGTTTTGGAGTATATGTGTTGTCAAATAAATGTTGTTTTATGCTCGTCTATTCGTTTTGATGTCAAAACCTAAGGACATGGTTGATTTTCCTAGAAACCCAGGAGTATTGAATGCTTTAATGGTTCTCGACATGTTAGAAAAAGCCTCGGGTCATTTCGATGCATATTTATTGAGTTATGAATTTTTAAAAATGATCGTGCTGCTGAATTTTGTAAAAATCATGATAAATTGAATACTCGGCCAAATTGTCTGAAACTTTATATGTGACACTCTCTGATGTTGAAGTATGTTGTGTAAAACTTTCAGCTTTAAATTCTTCCTGTAGCTATGTTAAATGTCAAATTTGAATTATGGGCAAAATCTTGTAAAATCATTATAAAAATCAAGTTTGTTGAATTTTAATGTGAAATTTTGTGGAGTGTATTATTTTGTTATCATATTTGTTTTGTCAAAATTTCATGTTCAAATTCGAAGGTTTGGCTGGAGAACTAGAATTTTCACTCTATAGTTGTATTTTGTCGAAAAATTATTCGACTGGGTTAAAGTAAGGCTTAAGGGCTGATATCGCGTATATTTGTGTATTACTGGGTTTACTTTAATGTGGTAAAGTTTCGTTGAAAATGGCGGAGTATTTTTTTCAAAAGACCTGGTAGTTGTAAATTAAAGTCGGTTTTCCCGACAGCACTCAACCAAGTCTTGTTTTGAATATTGTTCTAACTTGGTAGACTTCCTATTTACTCAACACTGTATTTTTGCATGTTATATGAGTTCTAAGTGATGTTATATGGTTTATCGAGTCTAGTTGGTTAAGCCGAGGTTCCAAACTCCATTAAGAATTTCCACGGATCACTTAGTCGATACGATTTCGGCTAAGTGAATGTTATGGTATGTGATCTAAGTGTTGGCATAGTTGTTGATAGGATTAATGAATGTAGGTGTTTCACGAGCCATGCTCTCATCCTACCGACTTTTGTGTGCCATCTACTGCTTCGTAATCCAGGTGGGTTTACTTATAAAATTATCTATGCCATACGTGTTTAAGTGTTTAGTTGGTATGATCAATGTATGCATGTGAACATGTGGCCTATCGATGTGAGCTATTACGGGCATCGCATGTGAACATGTGGCCTATCGATGTGAGCTATTACGGCCGTCGGTACGATTATCCCTGTCGAGTTACGGTACGGTTTGCCTTGCGAGGCAAGTATCCTTAAGACCTACGAAAGGACGTGTCCTTGCGTGGCACGCACTCTCGTCGTATTGGTTTATGCATCTCATTTCTGCGGCTAATGATAGATGTGCATATGCTTGAGATTATTGTTGTGTTATTGTTAGGAGATGAGACATGATGATGATTGATTTATATTCATGTAGCGACCATACCATCTTAACATTCTTTTGTTTATGTGCATAGTGGTGAGCACTACGGTTTTATTTGTTCTCACTCCCACATGCTCTTCATGGATGCAGGTTAAGCAGTTGTCGGATGACGACACAAAGACGAGTGGGTGGTCTTTTATTTATTTCATTTGCTTCCGCATTTTATGAACTATGTTTGAGATGTATTGAGTCATGTTGAACGGTTTTTTCAAACGTATGTTATGAATTGTTGAATTTAGGATATTCTGGTGAACTTATGTTGGTTTGGATTTTCAAACGATATAATTTTTGTTTTTTTTTTTTTTAAAGTTTTACTAGTTTTTCCACACATAAGTACCAACATTAGGAGATATTAG